GCAGGACAAATATTAAAACAAAAGGGAGAATACGCAAAAGCCCATGCAATTTTTCTTGAAGTACAAAAATTAGAACCAAGTATGACAAGCTTACAATCTGAATTGGTATATTTAGAAGACAAAATTGCAAAAGAACAAGAATCTGAAAAGATGCTGTATGCTAAAATGTTGGGTAGAGTTAACAATAGTAAATCAAAGAAGATAAAGGTCGAAAATAAATATAAAATTGCTAAAGGAATTCTATGGACTTTAGTTGGAGGAACATCTACTGCTCTTGTTGGTATACTTATACACAAATTTGTTTCATGAAAAAAAAAGAAAAGAAACATATGAAGATCTAAATCCGTTAACAAATAAAGAAAAAATTGTTAAGCTCTTTATGATTTGATAATCATGAAGAGTAATTTCCAGATTTATAATGTGTATATAGTGGGTAAAAAGTATTTACATGTTTTTTTTTTTTAGATAAATTTGTGCAAAGAAAATAAATGTTTACTACAAATCGCTTTATTCAATACACTAGTACATATTTAAGTTTATATTTTGATAGAAACATAATTTTTAATAATTTATATTTTGTGTAGTATTATTTGAAAAAAAGACAATATGCGAATATTTCTTTTATCCACTATATTTTTAACGATACAAGTATATAATTTTATATGTGCATGTATATATATATATGTACTTATAATTATAATTATATATAATTATGGAACTATAACTATTATATATATAAAATTATATGCTTCTAACGATAAAAATATATTTAATAACCAATGAATAATAAGCATGTATGTGAAAAATTTTTAATTTTTACTGATTATATTATAAATTAGAATCAAGTTATATGCATATTGCAAATATTTAAAAATTTTGACTAAATATATGAAACATAAATCAAGTAAGCATAAAACATTATTTCAATTTTGGCATGCATGTGAATATATGTATGTATAAGTGATATATGTTATTATTAACCCTTAATCCCGACTCATGGGTCGTTTTCGACCCAAGCGAAATTTCAAAGTGCTGTAAGGTACCTCCATTTCTTAATAACAAACTATATAAAAAATAATTTTATCGAAATATAATTGGGACTTCAAGTTGAAGGTTGAAAGAAGCTCCATGAATTTTTTCAGATTTTTTAAAGCGTTTTTACTGATCCAAATAACGCAAAGACGCAAAGCGACCCATGAGTCGGGATTAAAGGTGCCGAAAAGAACCGTCGGGATTAAGGGTTAAAAGCTATATAGTGCAATTTTGTTTATATTTTAATGTTTTGTTTAAGGGAATTGTTTAGGTGATCGTTACATTAAATCTACGCATGTACAAAAAAAAATGCTAGAAAAATTGTATTTTATGTTTTTTTTTAAGATCTCTAATTTTAAATAACTGTTTAAACAATACTATTCACGTTATAAACTTAAATAAAAATTATATATGTTTTTGTTTTACGTAAAAGAATATATATAAATTTTTATTAAGAATTAAAATCAAATGTTAGTGATTATGTATTGTAAAATAAGAAATATATTTTATAAAGTGATGTTTGAAAATATTCTTCATAACAATACAATAAATTGTTAATATAAAATAACAATATTTCTAGAATTTTTTAAAATTAAATATATGTACTTATTTTTTACGAAATATTTGCGAATAAAAAATAAATTTAACTGAAATTTGGAGTATATTTTTGAAGTTTTTTGTTGCACATGTTTATAAACAATTATGCCCATACATATGTTTTTTTTCATGTAATATATAGCTAAATTTGTTACATATTGATTTCAATTTTTATATAGAATATTGAATATATTATCAATTATTGTAAATTGTTGCAAGACGTGTAATTATTATCTTGATATATTTCAACCACTTGTAACACATCTCAATATCGAAACATTGAATATTGCGCCACAATAGTTGCGCCGGTTGCGCCCTCACTCTCAGCCGCCATGACATCTTTCTAGAGCGCCATGCACAACGCGTTGCTTCGGACCGCAAAATGTGAACAATCCGTTAATAATCGTACATTTTACCCATTAAAAGTACATTACAAGTGCAAATTTTTGTCGGGAGTGTTAATTAAAGCAATAGGCAATTGTCAGAACGTATAATTTTCTGCAATTATTGGCTGCCAATGGCGTTTCGTCGATCGTCAAATTTCACCGATTTGAAATCGGACCGGTTAGAACAAATTGTAAATTCCGGTGAGTACTGATTCCGATACCTCTGATACGCGAAAATAATCCTTACGTTTGGTCAACAAGATCATAGCGCTGTGAGTGCGCAGTCATTCCAATATGTCGTTTCATTAAATGCAATGTACACATGCAATCACAATTTCAACTTGCCGTAAATAAATCAAGTATAACAGCGCTGTTGTATGTGTTCGCACCTAATGACCTCCGCGTGACCGCGAAAATAATCGTTGCTCGTCTCGTTCGTTCTAAGGGCATGTAAATCATTGAGTGAATTGTTGAATATGTAAATAACACAATTATGCGCATGGACGCGTTATGGTAAAGTGTATTTTATTTCGTGCTTGCGGTTTGTGTGTTTCGTGTATCGTGGCGTGATTTTCGTGTAAAGCCGGGTAATGCGCGTAACGAACAAGTACAGATTTCAAGTTCGATATATTCATTAGTTCTTCGATGGAGCTGAAGCGGAGCAGTATAAAATCTATAGCAAAGTTCAATATTCTAACGGTGAGTACAATTTTTGTTACCATTAAATATATATGTATTTATGTTTCGTGTATGTTATATATATAAAATATACTGCTCAAAAAAATTTTCCTATGCCATAATTTTTTTGAGCAGTGTATAATTAAACTTTTATGTGATAGCTTTAAAAATACAATTACAATTATTTTTTATTTTATTAAATAATATAATTTTTCTATATTATTTGAAAAAATACATATCTATTATTTTTAGGAAAGAAAATTAAACATTTGGTATTATATGTTGTAATATGAAAAAATATATTTCATAAATTTGATAATATTTTTCATTGTTTACAAAATAAATAACAATATTTCTACACTTAATAAAATGAGATAAATAATGGCACATTTCAAATTTGAGCAAACATAATTGTTTCACATTCCAAATTTACATAGCTGCCTTATGCAAGTCTTCAAATGTTAAGAAACGGCGAAAATTCGTGTGTTAAATAATTTTCTATTTTTATCTTACTGTTATTATTCATAAGTGAAAACGACCCTTCGATGTTTTCTAATGATACTTCTGAATAATTTGTATTGTCATAATAAGTTTGATCCGTATTCAGGAGACTATTTTGAAATTCTATATCTTGATAATCTGGTAAGTTTAATATTTCATTAGAATTTATTCCAAACTGATCAGCGAGCTCATTGGTAGATAATAATTCTGGATTGGTAATCTCTACAGTAATCACTTGTCCTGTGTTCACATCTACTAACGAAAGAACTTGTGGGGTAGGATCGACGACAGATAAATTCGTAAGTTTTAACATGTTTGAACATTCAGAGTTTTCCTCAGAGTTTGATAATGGCTGTATCTGCAATTGCGAGTCAACATTTACTACTGGTTCGTCTATATTCATAACCGAATAGTCTTTCTCCTCGTTTTTTACAACTAATTCACGCTCTTGATCACTTTTTGTTTTACTGCATTCTACTTTTTTTGGCTTCTCTGGTACTGGCACAAGATGACCGTCTTCTGTTTTCATGAGCTTTACTACCTAAAACAGTAAATATGAGTTTATATATAAATATGAATTAATTTAAAAAATTTTCATGTTACCTTTTTTTTCTTTTCCAATGTAATTTTGTGGCAAGTTTCCATGTGACGAGTGAGATGGTGTGAGCGTTTAAATGCAGTATTACACTGCATACAAGCAAACGGTCGATGCTGTTCATGTGACAATTTATGCCTCTTAAGTAAACTATTTCTCTTAAACGCCTTGCCACACTTTTCACAGATAAATTGCCGCTCCTTGTTGTGAACGTAAAGTACGTGATCCTTGAGAATACTGACGCTGGTAAACGTCTTGCCACAATGTTCGCACACAACATTTCGCTCTTCTATGTGCAGTTGTTTGTGCCTATCTAGATCTGTCCTTGTAGCACACTGAAATGCACACTCATATATATTACATGCAAATCGTTTTTCTCCCTTGTGAATGCGCCTGATATGTTGGTTCAGAGCTCTCTGTGTGACTAATTTTTTCGAACAGATTGTACATGAAAATATAGCCCTTATAGGTACATTCTTATTGACTTTATTAAGATGTAATGCAGATTCCAAGTGTCGAAAGTAGTCATCTTTCTTGATGAATGTGTGTCTGCAATCAGCACAAAAATATGAACCTGTAAAATGAAATTGTTAGATGATAAATAACAAAAGAGTTGATTTGATTTATTAATTTAGTAATTTTAGTATTTACCACTGTTTGTCGATTCTTGCTCGTTTAACTTTGGACTATGAATTGCCTTGAAGTGCTCATGTGCTTTTTTCTTTGATGCAAAACTAACATCGCAGTCTGGACACTTATAGTTATTATGATTTTGAATATGAGACAAATATGTCTGTTCAATACTGAATGTTTGGGAACATTGCTGGCATTTGAATTGTTTCTTCTTACAATGCTTCTCTTCATGTTCTTTTTCATTTGTATCTGTATTTATCATATCTCCACATTCTGAACATACCTTGCCATCTTGATAACTATGTTTTGCTCTATGACGATTTAAAAGTGCTCGTTTAGGAAAATTTCTGGGACACACATCGCACAAATGAGGATGTCTGATCACTCTTTCTCCGTGTGCGCGAAATAAGTGAACCTCTAGATGCTTTCGTCTAGCAAATTTTTCATTACAATGAGTGCAATTATTTTTCTGATGGCCTTCTAAGTGACGATCCAAGTGCCTTTTATATCTGAATGTCATTTGACACTGCTCACACTTTTGAATTTGTTCATTTCCATCTAATAATTCCAAGGTATCATTCTTTATTTCAGGTATTAATTCTGATCTAATATTTTGACTTATAGACTTGTTATCTTTATTCTCAATAAAATATATGTCTTTATTATTAGTATGAAGTTTAACGAAACAATTATATTTTTCTACTTGAGTTTGGTTTTTTTCTGTACATTGAGTTGTTACATTTTTGTTAAATGTATAAGATTCACTGTTATTGATAGTTGTTACATCATCTGACTGTTTGCTCGAATCATTTGAAAAATTTGAAAAGCTATTGTAGCTCAAATTTACTGTGTTAAAATTTTCAATAGAACTTGAAACACTAACATTTGTTGACTTTTTCTGCTTTGCCTCTTCACTCTTCACACAATTTTCAGATTCCTGAGTATTTTGTAAGAGTAAGTTTTCAATTTTCATAAAATTAAAATCAATACTATTCAAATTAACATCATCTAAGCTATCTCCTTGCAAACCGATATCTGCAGTATTTGTGGAAGCTGATAAACTGACTCCAGAATCTTTATTTTCAAAATTACTGATGCATTCTTGTAAATAATCATAGTTCTCTATTTCACCACTATCTGTGCACATGTTTGGTATAGCATCTAGAGCTGAACAATCCTAAAAGGCACATAATGTGTAAAGGTAATTTTCATAGTAATGTCTTTAATAAAAATAATTTCTATATGTATCTTACGTGATTATCAAACAAACGTAGTGTCATCATTTTGGATTGTAGTGTTTTAGCAGCTGACAACTTTGGAAATATTTACAGAAAAATATGTTTATCATATTACATAGAACAGAAATTGCTATATTTAGCTTATTAATTTTTTTGAAAGAAATGTTTGAAAGAATGTTTTTTATGTCAAATATTTGTAAAATTACGTAAATGCCTCAAGCGTTTGTAAAGGAATTGCACAACACATAACCTGAAAGATGTCGTGCAGAAAAGTGGAAATGTCCATTAACTATACATACACATGAGAAATGGGTAATTGACTTTTTTACCTACAACAAAGAAGAATGTTAATCAAATTAATGATAGGTGGCGGCACGATCTTTATATCGCGGTTTGCAGTAAAAAAAGTATTCTACGTATTTCGCCAAGTTTCACATAATACGCAATTTCAGCTTGTTTAATCTAATTGATCTTGTTATAATATTGAAAAAACAAAACATTTCATGGAAAGGTATGTCTTATGTATCTTTTACAAATCTCTATGAAAATAGATGTGTATAATTGAATTGATAGAAAAAATTCCATTGTAATATTAATTTAAGATGAATCAAATCAAAGGTAGCCTAATACTCATTTAATTCTTTTTTGTTCTGTTTGTGATTTTTATTTGTCTACTTAAATTTTATTAAGAACAGTGTTGGAAATTCCAAATGTAACTTTCTATTGCAAAATGCAGAAATTTTTTTATTAATTTCTAGATTTTTTCTAATTTACCTTTTTTTTTGCAGATTTATGTATCAGAGCGCACATCATACAACAACAAAATGGTAAGTAAGAGTCAGAGAAAAAGATTCTAGAAACAATTTTTTTGAATTTACACAAATTTGAACATTGACATATGAGTGCATTCGAGGAGAAAACATTTGACAGCCAGAAGGAATGACAGAAATATATTCGGTTTATTTCATATGCACCATCATGTATTTCACATTTAGCTATTAGAACTTTTTTTTTTAATATTGTAATTTTGAACGATACATTTACATATACGTCATACACATAAAGTTTTACGCTGGGATTAATTCTTTCGACAGAGGTACTTTCGACTCAAGGCCAAGTGGCCAAATTTCTCTTAAAACCTGCAATAGCTCGTACATATGTATGTATTCAGTCGCCGTCATTTTGTGTTCTGTATTTTGAACATTCGTCCAAAAATTTCCTTACAAGGCAAAGAGTCTTACAAGCTATGATATGTATATTTTGTGTGCAGTTCACAATATTTTAACGGTTTCCTTAGCTTGACTAACAATAAGAGAAAAGAGATGTTGGGAGGAACAAAGATTTAAAAAAGTTTATATAACATTATTTGTTATTATCCATGAAATAATATAAATTATAATACATAAATTATTTGCCAGCAATTATGATATATATATATATATATATATATATAATTAAAAATAGTATATAACAGCACGT